CTATCTTTAAAATTATTACTTTGTTCGTTTAATGATCCCCATCATACTACTTTGTTACAAGTAGTTAAATCGACCGATATCGCGACGTGCAGATGGTAGATTTGGTGAAGTGTATGACCTACTTACAATAACCCTCATCTGCCTGCCCATTACTTAACGTAAGGTCTTGTGATCTTACCAGTGTCTGATAAAGCTTGATAAGCATCTTGTTATTCAACCTACTAAAGCGTTCTTCTTGACGCCAAAACTGTTCTAAAATCTGTAATCGCAAACAAACATTAAGTATCAGTTTTCAAATCATGACTTACTAGGGCTCTTAAGTATTTATGCGTAAGAACCAACGGTTGAGATGTCTCTCCAGATAGATAATTGTTTCCATTTTTATGCTCGCTGGGTATGGTGATACTTAGCTTTATTGTTAAGTGTTGTTGCTAACCGAGACTAGATGCTTGAGTGCTGAGATCAACTTAAAACACTTCTAGATGGTTATTCTCTACTACGTATCGACATATGTTGCTGTCATTTGCATAAATTAGTGTCAAGAACTTGATGATAACTGTTAATTAGTCTATATGGAAACTGAGCAGCGATGAGCAAATAAGTAAATATTACATGTATCAATTATCTATGCCCTACATAAGAGGAAGATATTTAACAGATTTATAGCATTTAATATGTTTAAAAAACCTTATTTGCTTCACCAAAAAATAAAAAGTAAAATAATATTTCTTAAGTCGTCACTTTCCAGTATTCGTTACAGTTGGCTTAAACGATTCAAACAACGTAATAATGATGGTAAACTAGTCTGCACACAAACCATTTTTACCGAGTATCGTTTATTCAAAACCAGTTTAAATGTCTTAATCTTGCTCGCGATTTATTCATCAATTGATTCTTAAATTTGAACACAGATTGTTTCGCGGTCATAACTATCCTCATTCCAAACCATTCAGCAATGTGACAATGAATTAGTAATCAAGAGTATGTTTAGAAGCAGACAAAATATAAGTGGTATGATAGCTTTAGTCCTTTGGCCAAATTATCCGAAACATTTCTAACAATATCACCTGCTTGTTGAGGGAAAGTAAAGTTCGCAAGCTAGGTTTGCCATGCTTCTTGTAATGGTGTCAATAAACAATGCTTTGTTTCATATAGTAATATACCTAGGTCAGCTTCAGCAAGTATATTAATTCTGTCAGTGTAACAAGTAAAACTGCTGAGGAATCAACTGAACATGATTCAATATACCCAAATAAAATGTGAAAGTTGTTAGTTATAGAGTCAAGCAAGTAACTTAGTGTCCAATATTTTCTGATTACAATAAGATTGGCCTTAAAGTACTGTGTTAATTAACAGATGGTAAGTTTTGTTCAAAAATGTCTCATCAAATCCGAGCAGATATAGAGTTAAAACACTACATAAAAGGAGTGCATTTCGTTCCTACAGTTGCATTCATTTTTGTGCCTCTTTACTTTTCCCTTTCGTATTTTAAATTATACTCTTGAAAAGGAATAGTTCTTTTAAATTACTAATTCAGTCGCATACTAGAATGACTCCGAAAAACGAGCACTAAATTTTCTCTCAAAATAAGGATACAACTGTTAAGCAGCTGTATACAATCCATAAAATGTAATGCTTGTTAACATTAAATACTTATAGAAAGTTCTACGTGAAGAAAAATACATTTTAAAAAATCCCATAGTATAAATCAGAGCATTATATATAAGAGAGCAGTACTGTTTTCAATTAGATCGTTAACAGGTTTAACTATAATATACAGTAATATTTATATGAAAACACTATACAAGTGAAGGTAGTTTATGAATCCGTGATAACAGCAAAATAGAGTATATGACTAAACAAAGTAAGTAAAAATTTAAAACTGATAATTAGATAATAAGTATACTAGATACATCTGTCATTACACTATCAATCTAATTCATTTTGTTATTATCATTAACTTATAGACTATCAACAGTACATTAGAGTAAAGCCTGACAAAGATCTAACTGGAAACAGTACTACTAAGATCACGAACCGAAGTATATGTTAAAAGTTCGCTGAAAACCAGAGGGTGATGGACCGTCGTCTTGTTTGGGTACGGGATAATAAGTAATAGGTATCCAGTTTCAAGAAACCAGGAATTGCATCGAGGTCCTACGGTCTCGTATGCGAACGCGCAACCTAGAGACCATTGAGCCAGGGTACAGTGGTACACAAGTCAACCTTTCACCAATGATATTTCCAAAGTATTCACTTGAGACAAGATTTTTACGACTCAGAAGCATAGAATGCTTCGTTTGAACATGTAGTAGATACAAATAAGTTAGTATTGGAACTATAATATCCTTATAGCACCACTGCCACACTTAAATTTGTTTAATTTTGTCAAGCCCTTCAGTTAACTTATTTGGAAAACTTTTAATAAAAACAGTAACAATTTGATATGTTGGTATTGTTATTATTATTATCATGTCTGTATGAAAATATATGCTTGATCACATATGACAGCCTACGCACACATCCCTTTTTCTAACTTAAATGTTAGTTGCCTAAATCACTGCTCGAATACGTTTTTTTGCTTGTGGCTTAGTGATATACGCTGTTCACATCATTAGTATCTATTTTCCGACAATATACCAGCTGAAGCACTGAAATCAGACATCGAAGTAACTAGAAAGATATTTTACCTTCTATTCAAAAAGATTTGGGAGGGGGAACATGTGCCGATGGACTGGAAAGAGGGACACCTCATCAAGATTGCAAAGAAAGGATACCTGGGCGAATGTGAAAACTACAGAGGAATCACACTACTGTCAGTACCAGGGAAAGTCTTTGACATAGTTTTGCTGAACCGGATGAAAGGTGCAGTAGACGCCCAACTTCGAGATCAACAAGCTGGATTCCGTAAGGACAGGTCGTGCATAGACCGAATCACGATACTGCGGATCATGGTCGAACAATCAATTGAGTGGAACTCGTCATTGTACACCAACTTCATTGATTATGAAAAGGCATTTGACAGTGTAGATGAGAGAACGTTATGGAAACTTCTTCGACACTACGGAGTTCCTGAGAAGATTGTCAATATTATCCGGAACTCATACGACGGACTACAGTGCAAAGTAGTGCATGGAGGACAGCTGACAGACGCATTCTAAGTAGGAACCGGAGTCAGACAAGTCTGTCTACTCTCTCCCTTCCTCTTTCTTCTGGTGGTCGACTGGATTATGAAGACCACGACATCTGAAGGAAAACACGGAATACAATGGACAGCTCAGAATCAATTAGACGATTAGGATTTCTCAGATGACCTAGCCCTCCTATCGCATACACATGAACAAATGCAGATAAAGACAACCAGTGTAGCAGCAGTCTCTGCATCAGTAGGCCTCAAAATACACAAGGGGAAAACCAAGGTCCTCAAATTCAAAACTCAGAAATGCAATCCAATCACTCTTGATGGCGAAACTCTGGACGATGTAGAATCCTTCACATACCTGGGAAGCATCATCGATGAACAAGGAGGTTCAGATGCAGACGTAAAGGCGAGGATTGACAAAGCAAGGACAGCATTCCTACAGTTGAAGAACATATGGAACTCAAAACAACTTTCAACCAATATCAAAGTGAGAATCTTCAATACCAACGTCAAGGCAGTCCTACTGTATGGAGCTGAAACGTGGAGAACTACAACAACCACCATCAAGAAGGTGCAAGTATTTATGAATGGTTGTCTACGCAAGATACTCAACATCCATTGGCCGGATACCATCAGCAACAGCCTTCTGTGGGAGAGAACAAATCAGCTTCCAGCTGAAGAGGAAATTAGGAAAAGACGATGGAAATGGATAGGACATACACTACGCAAATCGTCAAACTGCATCACGAGACAAGCCCTAACTTGGAATCCTGAAGGAAGGCGGAAAAGAGGAAGGCCAAAGAACACATTACGTCGGGAAATAGAAGCAGATATGAAAAGGATGAATAACAACTGGAAGGAGCTGGAAAGGATTGCCCAGGACGGGGTTGGATGGAGAATTCTGGTGAGCGGCCTATGCTCCTTCACGAGGAGTAACAGGCGTAAGTATCTATTTTATAACGGAATCAGGATAATTGATATGAGAAGCCAAAGGAATTATCTCGAAATAATATCAGAGCAGTCAAAGCAATATAAGATATTATTCCACGAACTTATAGGCTACTATCCTGAGCCACATAAGTGGGGGGCTGTGCTATAACTGTAAATTACAATTTTACATGTTGGGTAACATGGGCGCATATATCGTTTAGCACTGTGACACGCCTACATGTGCTATTCGGGATTTTGAACAGACCAAATAATTCATTCGTTTTGAGTCATTATCTACACAGATTTTGACCTTGTCAGTTATTCGCTTATAACGTCGACTGTCCTTATATGAGCGTACTTTGTGTTTACCACTTATTCTGCTCACAACCCATTTTTAGCTTATTTTTTCTGTCCGACTGCAAACGGTGAATGTTGCCTTATCAAATCGAGTTGAAATCCTTGCCTTCTACGTCTCGTTTCCCCCGTTGTCTATCTGCGGTAAATAGTGCATGAAATATACATACCAAAAGCCATTCTCGTGTTTTACTTCTTCCGTTACTCACTAACGCGAATTAAGACAGCAGATATAGAAAGGGGTTGGTGGGATATCTATTTCGTTGTAATCATACCATATGATCAAATCGAAGCCAGGTAACTGAGTCACGATAAGGAAACTGACCGTAGTAACACAGTCGCATTCATTCTTTATCTCATAAGTTTTTAGTCTAGTGTCATTCCATTATTTTTCATATTTAGGTACGTTCCTTCCTATTATTTATATTTTCATATTTCGATTTCTAATAAAATGGATATTATTACTTCTACTCTACTGTTCCTTATCTTGTTAACTTGAGGTCCGGCGACTCTGATCCATATATATTTGTACTAAATACCAAACTGCTTGAAATCAACCGACTGAAAAGTCAAGTGAAGATAGGAAATAGCATTAAATTAAATTCTTTGAAAAAAATCATATTTGATATATATGAAATTAGATATAAAAAGAGCAACAGGTATAGCGGTCAAATGGACTCATGAATACATAATAAATGAAGATTAGAAAAGTATGAGGTAAAAAATAGAGATATTCTGTTTTTCGATAGTATGGATACATCTGTTAATGATCCAAACACAAAAAAGAATGTACTTACTTAATTAAAAATCAGTGTACTACAACTTGTAACATGTGAACAGGATTAGGATTTCTAAAATATTCTTAACAGATTGTTTCTAGATGATTTGTAAGTCGCTGTTCTAGGTTTTTCCATATGTTGAATGGAAATTACTTTGGAAAAGACAACGTACTTGAGCACAATGCACAATATTTTCAGCTGAAGGTTTGTTATAAATCCTTTTGTTACTCGTTCTGTTTTCTCTTCTTTCTCGACAGCCACGAGGAAATATTACATTAAATGTTGAATTACTTGGTTTATTAACTAGATTCGTATTGTTTCGATCACATAGGTTAGGAACCGTATGCATCGTTTCACGGACATAATTGCTTTCTAATTCATGGATGCTATAAAATGAATCTAAAGATGATGGAAGACTAATTTTAATCATATCACAAAGATCAATAAAAGTGATCAAAGTATTTATCGCTTTGGTCAGCCTAGATGTTGCGTCGGGATTTCTTTGTTTAATAAAGAGAAGTTTCGGAAGCCATACTCTTATGACTGAATAACGTCTACCACAGGGCTCTAAAGAAGCTAACTGAGTAGCTAAAAAATGTACCAGCTTTCCAGAGGGAAACAGTATCCAAGACTGTCCAAAAGTGAAATAATTTGACTGTTTATTCTCTAGCACAAGACAGTTGAGAGTTGTAACCAAATCTTTAAAACTGTTAAAAGTTGACTGTATAGCATTAAAGCTGTGTACAATATCAATTCTGAAATTAGTAGAATTGCTACCTGAAATCGACAACTGATCAGGCATTCTGCTTAGATTATTATAAAATTCACATAATTCACTAATAGACGAACCATCGTTGTATATATTTGCGACAGCACAAGAAGCTACAGCAAGTCCAACAGACGACTCACTAAACACAGAAGGGATCTCAATAGAGGTATACTTTAATTGTTGAAACCAAAATGATAAGACTACTGCTAAACTGTAAAGTAACTTAGGGATTAAATTGTTTTCCGGTAGTTTGACGAAACCCAGATTTTCTTTAATAACTTCATCTGTGCTAACTTTGTTGAAATCTAAAGGAATATATTTGACTGGGATTTGATACATCACTAATTTATCATTTTGTCTCATATATTCAATAACATCAGGATTTAATCCGACAAGTTTATTTTCCATACTTAAACTGCGTTCCAATGACACATAAATTTGATAGTGTAGTCTTCGAATTAAGAATGACGCTTCATGCACTGAGAATGGGCATTTTGGATCTTCAACTGCGGTGAGAAGAAAAACACCTCGAGATGAATAAATAGATGGTTTTGAAAATAATATTCCCTTCCTGAAATTGTAAAGAAGACGAGGAGGCCACCCATTTGTGTAGTCTTCATGCCATAAGTATGCTACAATGGTACCTTTTAGTGAATTAATCACATCCTCAACACTTCCACTAGATCTGAATGATGATTTAATAGTTGTAGATGTATTTGTTGAAGTATCATTAAAGTAACTTTTATCACTCAATAGACTCATAACACTTTTAGTTTCTTCTAGAGGGCAAACAAAACGAGAAATGCCGTGTATCATATCGTTTATTATAGAAGTGCGCTGTTCAACTGGATAACAGTTAATAACATCTTCTAATGGTTTAATTGAATTTGAATCGAACTGTGAAAACCATTCAAGGAGTACAGATAATCGATGTTGTGAGTAATTCATTGTCGAATTGTTTGTTTGTAATTTTTCTTGTAATTCTAATGGAAGTCTTACATTAGACACAACATCTGTACCAACTAACACAGCTAAAAGAGGCAAGTGAAAATCTGAAGATCTCGCTAAAATTGAAAGTTTAGGAATAAATTTGTGAAACAACATTTCTTTTTCACCACTACTTTTACTAGAACCACTCAAATTTAGATTGGCCAAATGAAGTGTAAGAAATGTCGGACTCGAATATGGTTGAGAAATCAAACTATTAAGAATATTTTGTCTCTTTGACATAAGTATATAATAATCAGATGATAAACCAATAACTGGACATTGTAAAATTATAGCAATAGCGGTACAAACAGTTGTAGGAAAAGATTTAACTCTAATACACTTCCATGGGAATTCATTTAAAGCATACAAAAATACATCCCTAGCTGATAAATTGAGTACTTTGGGGATTTTATCAAGTGCATTTAATTTTACGGCTGTAATAAGTTGTGATAACACGTTAAATTCTTTCTTCTGTTTATGCTTTAATTTTTGATTCTGTTAATAAGAAATGAATAACAAATAGAATTATTTATATGATTAACAATAACAAGAATTTCGTTTCATTTTTATTAATAATAGTAATCTTTTTAAAACATTTCATTCTCGCTGAAAAGACCTTTTTACCGTTGTCAGTTAAACATTATGTAGTATAATAAGAGAGTAAGTATGCTTAATCAATAAGAAAACACAGTTTGGATTGATTTATTGTGACTAAGGAAATGCAACTTTCAACAATTTCTCGTTAAAAAATCAATTTTCTCGCCATACAATATAGGAAGTCTTTGAAATAACTTCATTCCACACAACATTAGTCATAAGCATTAGTTTAGTAATGACATAAGATACTTCAATTTACCTTCCAATGACGAGCGTTTTTTCCGTACTAATTAAGTGTTTGAATGGAGATTTATCCTGAAATTGACTATTTTTTAGCGAACTGATATAAGCTGGAAAACTATTGAAAACGATGAAGCATTGACCAGCTATTTTATCAATTTTTGGAATTCCTCAACAGTTAGTATCTACGATCTAAAGAAGCATAGAGCCGAATACTTGATGGCGGTTAGAATATCTTTAGACCACATAATTACAATAGAATGAATTCAGACTCCTGACTTTAATCACTCTGCGTTATAATCCAACTATAATCCAATACTTTTGGTCAATTAGTGTCTCGTTTACAACATGGTTTAACTCCACAAACCCCATCGATAAAGTACTTTTGATTAATTACCATTATTATTACTACGAGTATAATTATCGTTATTACTTTTATTAATATAAGTTTTAAGATTATCACTTGCTTCTCACTACAGACTACAATCCACAATAATCATAGCCCCCTGATATGCATTGTCAATTACGAACTAAAAGTCAAATACTTATGGACAGGTAAGGGGTCTTTTTAAAACGGCAAGATCTAGCAAAAGATATCAAAAAATTACAGGCTAAGAAAACATTATAAAACAAGTTTGAATCTACTCGATCCAATTTAGGAAGTGGCATTGTATAATCAATTATAAAACCAAAAGATTGTGAATAAAATGAGTTACACCAAACGACCTGAATCTTCTAGATAGTTAGTTCTGTTTCCCATTCTGCATAACAGATTCGTAGATGCTTTTAGTGGCTTCGTTATGTTCATTCTAGGTACTTACTAACTCCTGATAACCCTGATGAAGTAGCGTAAGCCACCATCCAGCATTCTCCATCCAACTCTGTCTTGGACTCTCCTCTCTAGTTGTTTCCAATTTCTATTCATTATCTTCATGTCTTCCTCCAATTTCCAACACAGTCTGTCCTCTGGTCTTTTTTTCCTTTTCCCTTCACGATTCCGAGTCAGGGATTGCATCGTGATGTAGTTTGGTGATTTCCGCAAAGTATGTCCTATTGTTAGCTGGACATTGGATCAAAGCATGCTCAATGTACGATTGCTTTGGCGCACGCTTATTGGCTGACACTTGTCCAATCAGCGCTAGCAGATTCTTGGAGAACACTCTAGAATCTTCTCATGTAAAAACTATAAATATACTAAGGTTTTTCCTACTGCGCTTCTTTCTTTCATCTAACCTTGTTATTCGGAATATAATCTCTTTCCTGTTCAACTGTGTTCTGATTTGGGGACTTGTCTAGTGAATTGGTGTCCGAGAGTACTAAGCAATAGGAATAGCTGGGTTGTAATAAGAGATAATTATAACAGTGGTGACGGGGGTGGGATACTGTTGAGCTGGTCACCTGATATGGGCACCTTGAATTTGTTTTCCTTTTTTCTCGTCGCCACTGTTCTCTTATTACAACCCAGCTATCCCGCCTCCAGTGCCTTCTCCTAATTTCCTCTTTAGATGGGGTTAAGTTTGTTATCTCCCACAGTAGCTTGTTGTCGATGGTATACGACAAACGGACAGTGAGTATCTAGAATAGACAACTGTTTACAAATACTCTGTTGATAATGTGTGTAGTAGTTATCCAAGTTTCAGCTCCGTATGACAGAACTGTCTTGACGTTTGTGTTGAAAAGTGAGACTTCGGTATTGGCTGACAACTGTTTGAGTTGCACATATCCTTTGATTGTAAGGATACTTCCCTTGCTTTGCCGATCCCTGCATTCACATTCGCATCAGATCCTCCTAGATTATCAATGATGCAACCTAGATACGTGAAAGTTGCCACCTCTTCCAGAGCTTCTCCATCAAGTATGATTGGGTTAGTGTTCTAAATGTCGTATTTGAGGATCATGCATTTCCCTTGTGTATGCTGAGGCCTACTGCTGCAGAGGCTGTTGCTACACAAGTTGTCTTTACCTGAATTTATTCAAATGTATAGGATAGAAGACCCAGGTCGTCTGCGAAGTCCAAGTCGTTTGGTTGCATCCAACCTGTCCATTTTAATCCGTGCTTCGCCTGAAATGTGGAGGTCTTCATAATCCAATCAACCATCAGAAGAAAGAGAAAGGAAGAGTGTAGACAGCCTTGTCTGATTCCGGTCCTCACTTGCAATGCATCTGTCAGCCGTCCTCCATGCACGACTCCACAGTGTAGTCTGTCGTACGAATTCCGTATGATATCTACGATCTTCTCAGATACACCACAGTGTTTAATAAGAGTCCATAAAATTCTCCTATACACACTGTCAAACGCTTTCTCGTAGTCAAGGAAGACGATGTATAATGACGAGTTCATTCAATTGATTGTTCAACGATGATCCGTAGTGTCGTGATTCGGTCTGTGCACAACCGATCCTTACGGAATCCAGCCTACCGATCACGATGTTGAGAGTCTTCTGAATCTTTCATTTGATTCAACAACACTGTTGGGAACTTTTCCTGATACCAATAATGGTGTGACGCCTCTGTATTTCTCACAATTTCTGTGATCACCTCCCGTTGATATCTTGGTATACCTGGTATTCTTCTGTCCAGTCCATCGACACTTATTCTTCTTCCCAAATCTTCTTGAATAGAACGTGAAGCATGTTTGCAGTTACCCCTGTCTGACTTCGGTGCTTTAGGTGGTATGTCATCTGATCTTTCTGCTTTCCCACTCTTGATTTGTTTGATGTATATCCTGATGATAGATGCTTCTGATAAATGATGACAGGCTTTATGACCCACAAACACATTTTTTTTCTCATTTTTTTGAGAAATACTCGTTTTGTTTACTTCTATATGTAGTGAGTTTAGGTACCTTGGAATTTAGTTTATCTTTTAATCATAACAATTTTATTTCTTAGATATCTAAGGTACTGCGTTGATGATGACCCACTGAAAGTGTGGTTTCTCTGGTCAATTTTTCCCTGAAGTTTTACGAAAAAGGACAACGTTAACCTATATTTCTGTGCTGCATTGTTGTATGGTTAGACCACTGACACATCGAGTTACTCATCCTTAACGATAACCATGCACAACTGGAGACCGTTTGTGTATCAACCATAGGGTTCATTACTCATTGAAACGTTTAGTAATTTAAAAGAATCCATGTTTTTATTCTCTTCTTATTAACATGAATCCAAGTTAAACCAGTGTCGCATAGGTCTTATAAATGCAAATGACTGTAGTGATTATACTCCCAGAATTAATTTAGCATATTATACTTAGACTAGACAGTTGTGTGGTAAATAAGACAACAAAGCAATATTAGAAGTCTAACATGAAATATTTTGGGAATGAAATACATTTAACGCGCTAATCTACAGATAGACCAAGAAAAAGAGGACGGAGGAGAGTGAATTGTATGGTATTGTTATGGACTGAGAGCAGTGATAATTTCGACATATTATGCAACAGCTATTCCAAAAGAAAACTTTTGATAAGAAAAATTCATCGAAAGAGACTAAAGAAGACTGATTTACAATCAAGTTAACTTAGTTATATATCAAACCAATGACCATTAATTTCAGAATTTTACCAACCAAGTAATAATCACTAAGCACAAAATTAATATAAGATAACCAATATATAGAAAATTGATTGAGAGTCAAATAACTGATTACAATTGGAAATGCATTGAAAGTTAATGAGTAGAATTTACTCTAGTTCAACGAGAATGCATTGAAATTGACTTAATAAAAATTACCTTACATCGATATGCGAAATTAAAATTAGTTTCCTTCCTTATACACCGTATTTCGGAATAATAACGAGCTCCGAATGAGAAGACATACTATTGCTATCTTTAAATGTGAGATCATTACATACAAATGTTCCAACTATGGACAGTTTTTTTATATATCAAGCCAAATTGGAGAGACTGAAATACACATTGGAACCTAAATAAATGTGCTAAAATGAACCATGAATGTGAACGTCATGTCTACCGGAGGAATATACAAACAACTGAATGCAGTAGAAATGGGTTTGGTGTAGGATCTCACGTTAACGGATATCTTTTTAGATAAACCAGAAAACAGGTCACGTGCACAGTTGGATAAAAAGTCTTCATTTTAATCTCAATATATGAATGACACACTCATCCTTTGTAAAGAAAATACTGATCAGTTAGAGATTAAGTAATTCTATCAATTTCGTCAGGCCATTAAGTTCATGTGGTGGCAGAACACCATTTATAAATGTACTACTTACGAATGGTAGACGAATCACTAACAAAGGACTTAAACAAGAAAGGTCGTGTGACTTTTTATATTTGATCAGACAAAAACAAGCCTAGTTGACTGCGGAAATGCTACAGCCTAATGAACTTTTTCTCGTTATATCACCTAAATTTACTTGTTCCCATTTAATTGCTTACACTTAAAACATTGAGAACTTGAAAAAATATACCGTCCACTATTATTGTATTCTAAAGAGATCTCTGAAATTAAGTGACTATGAAATTATGCTTATGATAAAAAAAATCACACCACTGTTCCTATATAATCCTGAACCTATGGTTTGGATGATTTCTAACAAATCGGATTACTCAGTCTTAGGCTACATAGAAGTATCTGACGTTAATACCAGTTAAATTGCTGACGATATACAGAAGTGAATATTTTAAAAATACTTCTTCGGACTGGTGTTTCGAAGAAGTTACATGAAGATTGACCAAGATAGCTTGAAATTCCTAATTGTGATTTAGGAAAGGCACAGCTGATGTGTTTTAATAAAACAAACTTGTCAAGTACTTCAGTATGGGAACACTACACAAATTAAACAAACAATTGTATTAATCTTGAGATGTTTATCCAGGATACTGGAGAACGATATAAGTTCACAGTATAAATAAAAGCAATTCGCAACGTGTAAGTAAGGATTAGGAGTTATGTTAATTTTTGTTAAAAAGCCCTTACTTTCATGTCACAGCAACCCCTTAGAATGAAGTACGGCTCCACATTCGAACATTGCAAATTCAAAAAGAACGAACGTACCACCATGTAAAAAGAAAGATTCTCACCACCATACAGTCCTGTAGAAAATTTATCATGTAGAAAACCAACTAAGTCGTCAGCGTCCACAACAACTTTAGTATCTTTCAGAAATAAAGGTTCCCATGGAGCGAAACTCCTTAAAAGAATTTTATCTAGACCCAGTACGGTCATTGCCAATTTATAAGGATTCCGCGCAAAACGATATATAATCTAAAAAGTATTTTAGAAATTGAGTCTTCTGAGTAAAGCCTTAGCCTTATCAAAAAACGATGGCTTTGAAAGTTGTATAATTTCAGTAAATGAATGATAAGTGAAACACAATGGAAAATAACTACTAAAATATCACTAACATGCACTGAATATAGATGATAGAAATGGGATGGGAAAACCATACAGATTTACATGACTTAATCCAAAAAGGATGGCAAGGACAGGAAAAAGAACATATACTTCATCCCAAACTAGATTACTACATCAAGAGATCTCAATATAATCATTATTTTTATACAAGTCGGGTGAAGAAATGTTTCTTTTGAGTTAGTTCCTCGTTATAGCTCGAAACTGATGTATAGGTTTTACAAACAAGTATATCTTGATAGGAATATTTGATATATAGCACAAAACTCAGTTGAGCGAAGATGTCTATAAATTTTAGAGATATATAGGAAAGAATCGACATTCGAGAACATGGTGAAAAGCACTATATCGAAACAGAATCCGACAAAACGGAGGAACATTAAAAATTTAAGCTCTGAAACAGAGGGACTTAATCAAATTGTATATTATTAAATTGACGAAGAATATTGCTGAGAGATCCTAAGCAGTTGAGAAACTCCCTAAATACTAGGAGCGAAAATTTTCAGAATAAATGATCCAAGCAATGAACGTCAGCAAAGACAAAGATCGTATCTAGTTAGTTCAGAGCTTTAATACCGAACTCCAAGACCTTAACTCCCGACAAGTCTAAGTTGTTACTATTCATAATTTGTCGAGTGTTGATTTTGATGTGACTCATTTACAAGTAATACCCCTTAATATTGAATTTTATGATAGAATAATGTTAGTTAGATGGATGAAGGTTCAGTTAGGGGACCTTTACGCCAGAAACCAACAACAATCCAACCCTAAACCCTACATATGTAACTCGTTTTGGTGGAGTAATAAACAGACCTAAATGTTGTACTTATTTTGCTGATTAATTTTGTAAAATTCGTTAAACTTTTTTCTCTTTGCACTGACTAACAAATTTTTTATCCATACGCAATTGTCATAGAATTACTTATATTCTGTTTGGTTAGCTATCCATCATTTAAATTCAAATATATACATCTTAGCTAAACATGTCCGTAGTTCTGGTTATTTTTCATCGTTAAGTATCACATCGATTTTTCGCATGTATGACTAGAGTTTATTATTATTATTGTACATTATTATTTGAATTTTCCCCTTTCTCCATACTCAACATGCACAATAATTCTGTGCATTAGCATAGTACGCACACACCAAACCCACATATTTACACAGAATTTTCTCACAGAAGAGAACTACGATATTTGAGTTTTATTTTGTATTTTTCCACTTACGTTTGTATCAGTGTTCCATCTGGAAACTCAAAGAGAAAGCTATGTAGAAACTGTTAATGTAGACCAAATCTCTCATGATTTCGCTTTAATTGTACAATTATGGTTATTCAATACAAAATATTGTCCCGGGTATTATGTAGAACGTCATCATCATCTGAATAATATAACGATTACTGCTCACTTGATACACGTGCTGCCTTACGTACTTTTGTTCTCAATCCCTAGTCGCCGTCACACAACCTATTATTCAAATCTCAGTTGGTACCTCAATCATTATCCTAATCAATGCTCTGTTACAACAATCGAATGTATTTATTGTCCAGTATCTACCGACTTCGCTCTATAATTGCAAATTCATATCACATTAACGTTAATCATATATTGTTTTTTGGTCAACCACACCGACTAAGAGGGTCACTAAAGGATTAAGTCGACTTTTGTAGGTTTTTAAAAACAAAAACACAAAGAACCTTAAACTAAAAAAGTGAAAACTCAACCATTATCAAAAACATGGGATCCGTACTCCTCGTCAATAAACTAGTCTATATAGAAAAGTTAAATACATTACTTAGTGAGCATTATAAATTCCGGAAACCATCTCCTGAAAACGACCCCACAGGAAAGATGAGCGACAAACTACACAATCGCCAAATAGCTTTAAACAAAAAGACTTGATTTCATTTCCTAGGAGATATGTCCAACACAGATCCACTGATCTTCATTCAGTCAGCTACAACTTACGACCAGTCACATGAGTACATCGGTCTAAGTTTACATACCTCATTAGCACAACAAGATGAACAAAAAATTCATCGAAGCAGTTACTTAAATGGTACTAATATATAAAAGATAGTATAAGGATACAATACAGGAAGAAATAATTAGTTCGTAGAAATAAAGGTATAAAGCAATTTTAGTTTCACGGTTTAAGGGAAGACAAAGGATGTACACACCTATACCATTGTGAACAATCCTCAGCCATGTCACTCACAGTCTCCTACCATTCGATACAATAGTCACACGGACCACAACCAAGTAGTTTGCATCTACCAACATGGCTCAGAACACAACTTAGTGACTTCAAGCATTGATGCCACGTTTTTGTTTGGCCGACCCTAACTTTCTTCCAACCATCCCCAATACTAGTCAGCATTATACGTCGTGGTAATCGGTGTTCAGGCATCCGTAACACGTGGCTCAACCATCTCAGTCGATAAAGATTCACAACCTCATCAACTGACTAACCATCACTCCCTAATACCCTGAGTCTGACCTCACTATTACCCAGTGATCCCAGCAGATGCGAGCAATATTTCCAAGACATCTGTGATCAAATAATAGCACCTTACGAGTATCCTCTACCTTTAACAGCCGCGTTCCGCAGCCGTAAAATAGAATAGAACGAACTACTGAGCAGTTTGCTCGTCCTTTAATTGATAGACGGATATCTCGCCTTCGCCATAGGTGGCATAAGTTGGCGAAAACCAAACGAACTTTCTGAATCGTGCACACATTCCGTCAAACACCAATCCACTAGGGCTCATCGAACTTCCAATATAAGTGAAGTTGTAAACGCGTTTGACTACTTCACTCCCTATCCTTAGTTCAAGTGTTGATGCAGGCCAGTCCTGAAGCAACAATTTTAATTTAGATGCATCCCAAACATTCTAGCATTGTTGCTCAGTGCTACCAAAAGACTGCATTTTATCAACGTCTTCACCAAACAAGACTATGTCATCTGCGTATTATAAGTCGATAAGTATACCACCTGGTAGGAGACCAATTACTGAAAATTCGCTTAAACTGAACCAACATATTTATAGACCTCTAGAGACATTTTATTTGGACCAGCTGCTCTTCCTCGTTTAAGATTAGCTATAGCTTTTTGAAATCCAATTAGAGTTTGAGGCCTAATTTAACTTCCCAATCAGGCTGTTTGGGAATGGTGGGTAGCTGTAGAGTGACTAAAAGCCAGCCTAACTGCTCCTTAAAGTGCTCCGCCCATCATTCTAAACGTCTGGGCTGCGATATGACGGGATGAAAAGTCAAAATTAGATTGATTTATTCATTATGATTTTTGTTCAAAATTAATTCTGTTTTAATTCAATGTGATGATTACTCAGTATAGTACTTTTGTTTCCCCGTATGATACTTTATTCTTTAAAATATATATTATTACGTTAACATGAACTATACTCAGCATATGATCTCTTATAACTAAGTATTGTTCATATATGTGATTTTATTCTAATTATTAATCAAAAACGGGTGTATGAATCAATATATAAATCAGTGTATTTCCGAGTAGACTTGTCGTGGTTGTTCGTGTTTCTGGCCCCTTGAGGAATATACTTCTTTCTTCCAAACTTGGACTTCTCTCCCTAGTTAGCTGAGCTGGGACACGTCGCAATAGCTAACTTAGCCATCTTTGTGTCGTTCGTTCTTAGATTAGGTGAACTCGTAATCTCTCCTAACATAGCAGGCTGAGAGCAGATAAGAGTGTAGTCTTTTCCCGAGATCGTCTCACATTTGGCCTCTTAATTCTTATTTCTTTTATTAGTCTGAAAAGCTATCGGGCGTTAACTACAGTCGCTTCCTTTTCCTTCTCTTTTGCTTTCGTTGCTCTCCACTGCACACTGTCGTTCCTTAGACTTTTGGTTAACCTAGAACTGATTTGCTTACGCTTTTCATCATGCTTAGAGCCTGATGGAATGGGTTGACGAGAATCTATCAGTGCAATAGACTTATTAGAAATCCACTGGTTTCTCGTGACCCTTTTGGTTCAAATCTCTAATGAATGTTGCTGCTTTTTCCATAGCTGTTTGCATGAATTTTTAAGCGACATCGAGTTCAGTCTGATACTGAGATACCTCTTTGTAAGAATTGATTCTCAGATGCACGATGAAGGTATATTTTCTGTTCAGCAGAGAGCCTTATGGAAATTGTGATTCTGTCGTTACTGAGTCACCAATTGGTACACCATTAGTGTTGTTCTTACAGCGGGATTAGTAGACAGCCATCTTAAGTTTGTTGTTTTGATCTTTTATTACGTATCAAAACTACTATTTAAAAAAACACACAACTTAGCTGATTCTCAGGATAGCAAAGCTCCCGTTCGATGCTCGACTGGCTAAACCAGACATATTCCCATTGTCACATAGGAGAACCAGAGGTTAATTTGTATTTGATATGCCCTCACGTTTTGTCTTTTAAAACAGAATTTACGAGGACACTGAGGAAGTGCACAAACCCAGAACAAATTACTGGTCAGATGACTATCGACTTTCCAATCGAACCATGATCAAATGAAATTGATTCCCTCAACAAGTAATTGAAGCTTTATCTGCCAACGCTTTTAAAAGAAAGATCAACTGAGAGACCACAATTGCCAGGACTAAACCAGGCCATCTAGTCTCCTGTCCTTTCCAAACTGAAACTTTAGCACCACTAGATTGAAGAAGCATCAGGTTCAGGAACATCCTGTGTAGTAATAAGAATGGGTCAATCTAATATTCTGTTCGAATAAATGCTACAGCAACATTTACTGGAAGGGCTAGCGTAGGTCAAACGTTGATGCGGTGAAATATAGGACAAATATGCTCTTCATTGGTCCAAGAATATTATGTGGCGTTTTGAACAGTGAAAACACACCTATCTGAAGGTGTGAATCTATATTACCTATTAATTTCTTCAATCCGATTGTCGGAATAACGTTATTCCACACGTACGAATCAATTGATTCGTACATGTGTAACTTAAGTTACTTTAGACAACATGCTTATGTGAAACTTTAGCTATAGTGATATTTTTAAATCATGAACGGCTAAGAATTTAAAATCAACTTTTTTCTATATACAAACCAGATCCCACTATGCATTCTTTGACAAATGAGCTCGCTGATAGTGTCGTAGTTCTCGATTTTCTGTATGACCGGTTGATACATAGTGTTGGCAGGTGTACATGCCATAGAAATTAAAGTTCGGTTGTGAAAATTTACTCCACAAACAATTTCTAGTTATTATAATAAGTATCCCAATAATGTATGAAAAGCACGGAAACACCTTACCTCTTCGCAACGATATGGTGGAGGTTGCGAGCATCTGAAGGTCAAACTGGCAGAAAACGATTGGTTTGTAGGGCCAGTGAAATGTCACTGAGCCCTAGCCAAATCATCCGGCAGTTGGATCACTGAATGTCGAACAGATCATCGCTCCCTGCCAAGGTCATGTACAAGCAACGCGCATTAGTTAATCATACGCCATGGACTGGCCCATGCGGCAGTGGTCTTACTTTCGCTTGTATCTACTTTAACTAATATATTTCTGTAATAACGTCCTTTGTGTTGTACAGTCTTCAAAGCATCTATAGTACCTTGTTACGTCAATGGGGATAGTCCACGTAAGGTGCTGACCACGAGGTGTGACTTCGACGTTAGTTGGTTCGTCACACTATTCACGTCTAACTCGAGTAGGCCTCCAATCATTTCGACATAGATCATCTACGTTGGTGATCTACACTGGTGAGCAAGACTTCGAATAACGCAACCTATCACTATAATCTTTATTATTGTATTCTATACTTATTCCTTTTCATTTTTATCATCGCCTATGTTAATCTGTTACTGTGAACTTTCGTTGCTTCATGTCAATGTTGATTAGCATTTAAACCTAGATAATTCGTTCAATCGACAGAACTAACCAATCAACTACGATTATAATCGGCTATCGTGGTTCTTTAACAAGCATTAGCAGCATGTAAATGCTCCTGTGTAATATGTCTGTTAAAATATCAACCACTCGTGAGTATAGCCACAAGGCAACACGAACGCATATCTCTTTGTACCTTATCCACTGGTATAAATAAGACAAGATTAACTATCGACTATAAATTCATCTTTCTGCTTAACCACTATCCACTAGAACGTTCTGCTTTTTTTTTACCACTGCCTGCCTAATTTCCAATTGCTGAGTTCCATGGCCAAACAGAGGATACGAATGCTAGAAATTCACGACTGTTCGTCAGTCTACAACTCTGTGTTAATCGAAAAATTTAATCAACAGTACCTCGTACATAATCCAGATTCAAACTACTGCCTACTTCATTACTTAAAGGCAAGAGTAGCCCAGGCGAGTTTCATAATTTCATTAGATTATTTCGTACTATATTTATGATGCGTGATAACATTTCGTAGTTGCTTTCACGTAAACTAGTCATATATTCTGTCACTGCCGTCAAGTTTTAGTCGAAATCATGTACATTTATGACTCGTTAGTCGGCATACTGTGGTAAAACATATTGCATGTACACGGGCACGCTTAGTCCATATCCCAAGTACACATGTTGTCGTACTTAATATGTCACTTAATGCTAGGTAATAAGCTCTTTGTATCATCCTTTTACGAAATGGCCACGTTACCTGGACCCTCTAAACCTTAGTTACATTGGTGGTTACCATTTTAATTAATGTTTATTATACCCCTTGTATTTGCTAATAATTCACATGGTAAATCATGGCTCGATTTCCTTATTACACGACAGTCATTTTAATTCTATTTTCGGTTTATTTACATGCGATACGGGTTTGGAAAATATCTAAACGTCCTCGAAAATTCTCCACGAACCCAACCATAGTTTTCGTATATGTTTTTATTCACACATCCAACTGTTACGCTAATCATACCTAAGCGAACGTTCAGTGCAACTGTCAGTATACGTAAGAACGATGTTATTTAGACTTGACATTGTAACACATCTGAACTATTGTAGTTGTTCTACTTCGATGTCGTACTTCATTTTATGAAGTATTGTTTCATCGTGGCTGTTGTTTAACAGATGATTCCGGTACATCAATCCGCTGTTCAACTACTCGACGATTTACAACCTGTCCAGTTCAATGTTGCTGCTTTTTCCATAGCTGTTTGCATGAATTTTTAAGCGACATCGAGTTCAGTCTGATACTGAGATACCTCTTTGTAAGAATTGATTCTCAGATGCACGATGAAGGTATATTTTCTGTTCAGCAGAGAGCCTTATGGAAATTGTGATTCTGTCGTTACTGAGTCACCAATTGGTACACCATTAGTGTTGTTCTTACAGCGGGATTAGTAGACAGCCATCTTAAGTTTGTTGTTTTGATCTTTTATTACGTATCAAAACTACTATTTAAAAAAACACACAACTTAGCTGATTCTCAGGATAGCAAAGCTCCCGTTCGATGCTCGACTGGCTAAACCAGACATATTCCCATTGTCACATAGGAGAACCAGAGGTTAATTTGTATTTGATATGCCCTCACGTTTTGTCTTTTAAAACAGAATTTACGAGGACACTGAGGAAGTGCACAAACCCAGAACAAATTACTGGTCAGATGACTATCGACTTTCCAATCGAACCATGATCAAATGAAATTGATTCCCTCAACAAGTAATTGAAGCTTTATCT